ACACAGGCCATCAGTGAAGGGGGGGCACACAGGCCATCAGTGAAGGGGGGGCACACAGGCCATCAGTGAAGGGGGGGCACACAGGCCATCAGTGAAGGGGGGCACACAGGCCATCAGTGAAGGGGGGGGCACACAGGCCATCAGTGAAGGGGGGAGATTCGAGCAGCGACGCTGGTTCAAGTGAATTTAAAAAGATGATGGTGCCGAGGCCAGGCATGGGGGCGCACGCCTTCAGTCCCAGCACTGGGGGCAGAGGTGGGCCTGGTCTACAGGCCAAGTTCTAGGCCAGTCAGGGTGACATAGTGAGACCCTGTCTCAATAGGAAACATAGTATGGCCCAAGAGAAGGGGGGCCCGAACAAGGGAGGATGGGGTTTGAGCTGACTCAGGCTTGGGGTGGGAAGGTTTGGGGGGTTTGTCCTGACAAGGAGCTCTTTGCTTGTTCACTTAATGTCTGTGGAAGATTAAAGCTTCCTTGGAAACAAGCAGAGCCTGAGGTCTGGTGGCTTCTAAGGAGCCCTGTGTGTAATAACAGGGCTGGTGTTTTGTCTTCCAGACAGAAACCAACTTAGCTGATGATTTCTTTGTTGAAGACACTTCAGGTCTCTTGGAGTTAAGAGCCATACCTGCCTTCATGACTGGGAAGTTGGGGTGAGTATAACTCCATGTCCTAAGAGTTGGGTGTGGGTAGGTTCCTGGTCCTTGGCGCTGGTATTTGATAAATCTCCCTGACTGATGAATCAGTGAGTGAAGAACTCCTGGGTGTGGAACTATTGCCTGTGAATGAATACCAGGCTTCCTTCCCCACAGGGATAGAGCCAGAGGTAATCTACAAGGCTGGTGGGGTGAACAGGGAGTGCCCCTTCTTCATGATTACATTCGTGGCTTCAGCTTGGAGAGTACACCTGTGTACAGGGATCCCGTGTGGGGCAAATGTGGGTTCATTATTTGTTTGTGACTCTTTCCGAGCTTTGGAACAAAGCTAGGAGGTAGGTATGTTTTCCCCCACATATGTTTGATAAAATACATTTGAAGTTTACAAATGTCATTAAAAATGACAGAGTTGAGCAGGCAAATCAACCCTAAATGGTAGAAATATGACATGTGATACTCATGAAAATATGTAGTAATACAAAATGGGATTACATTCAGTGTTTATGTGAGATTGATGAAGTTTAAAACATTTGTGAATAATGTGGCTAGAGGTCCCTAATTTTTTTATTCACTAGATATTTGTGAGCCTATTGAAATTTGAAATGGAGCTGGCTGTGGTGGCGCACGCCTTTCATCCCAGCACTTTGGAGGCAGAGGCAGGTGGATCTCTATGAGTTCCAGGCTAGCTTGGTCTACGTAGCGAGCTCCAGGTCAGAAATACATAGAGAAATCCTTTCTCAAACAAAACAACAACAACAAAAATTCAAGATGGAAAAAAGACAATATTTATATAAATATTTTGCCTGGAGGTAATAAAAGATGAATGTAATTGTAATAAACCATTGAAAATTACATTTTGAAGACCATGTTAGACGTTTAAGCTGGCGGTTACCTGAGTACCAGGGTGCTGTAAAACAGATTCTTGGACATCAGTGAGTGTTTCTTAATACACCGCTCTTTAAAAATAAAGAGGTGTAGAGATCATTGAACATTTACTGACATTGGCTACAATACCATAAGAATGGTCTATTATATATGTATATATTTATATGTATATAAGTATGTATAGTATTAGAGCATTATATATAACATTAGAGCATTATATATAACATTAGAGTATTATATATAACATTAGAGTATTATAATAACATTACATGTTATTATAGTATAGATGGAATAACAATGATTAAGGATACAGAGTATTGAAGAAAGCAGACCATCCAACAAGATGGGTCAGGTTGGAGCTGGGCTATGTGGTTTGTGAGCAGCTCCCACCATCCCTCCTCCAGGCCCTGTGCCTCAGTGGCGTCCCTTCCTACCATCTAGGTTCACAGCTGGCGTGATACACAGGGAGAGGATGGCTTCCTTCGAGAGGCTTCTGTGGAGAGTTTGCCGGGGAAATGTGTACTTGAAGTTCAGCGAGATGGACACACTTCTGGAGGATCCCGTGACGGTGGGTGGTCCAGGCCTCCAGAAAGGGATCTGGGGGCTTCCTGGAGTCCATAGCACTAAAGACACCTCTCTCACAACCAGCTAGTACGTTTCCTCCCATGTCTCTTCTCTTCTCTCATTCCCTTTCCTTTCCCCTTTCTTTTCTCTTTATTTCACCCCACCCCCCACCTTTTAAACAATACATTTGAAGGGTCCATCTAAGGACCAATTCTTAACACCTTATAGTTGGTTAACTCTTCAAAGTGTGTGGGTATCTTGTTTCTAGAAACTTACTATACAAGAACCATGAGAGGCCATCGCTGTTTTCATCACAAATGCACCCAGAGCTGATTGGAGTCTGTTTCTCAAGCTTCAATGTGCTTACAGGTTGCAGAGTCACCTGGGATCTAGCTGGGCTGGGGTGGAGCCTGAGGGTCTGCAGTTTTTACAGCCTCCCAGATGATGCTGATAAGATAGATGGATGCTGGCTGCCTACAGCCCTTCCAACGAGAAGGCTCTTCCCTGAAAACTACTGTTTGTTGCTGTTAATTCCACAAGCTAATTGCTTTCCTCCACCCTCCCAATTAATGTTTAAACCCACTTGTCCTTTCTCTCCCAGAAGCCAGAAGTCTCTAATCTTCCAGATTAGATGCTAAAACCATTAATCTTAAATTTCATTTGATTGAAAAAAGTCATAGTTGAAATAAAATAGAAAATAAGTTTAAAAAAAACCACACATATATATCACCCAGGGTTTTCCCAGGGTGAGGCTTACCCATTACATCTGGGATGTGCTGACCCCAATGACCCCATAATTTGTGATAGTGGGGGCAGTGCTGTGTTCTTTCCTGTGAATAATTTTAAAATGTACAAAGCACACTCTTCAGTAAGTACACCAGTATATTCTAACATCTTCTTGTATTGCTTCTCTCTAATCATAGGCAGTTAAAATTTTATACAGAAATGACTTTTCTGCTTTTTCATTTAAAATAATAAAATTTCTTTCTTTTTTTTAATTAAATTTTTTCTTATTTATTTATAGATATACAGTGTTCTGCCTGCATGTGTCCCTGCAGGCCAGAAGAGGGCACCATTACAGGTGGTTGTGAGCCACGATGTAGGGGCTGGAGAGATGGCTCAGGGGTTAAGAGCACTGACCTCTGAACTCAGGACCTCTGGAAGAGCAGTCAGTGCTCTTAACCCCTGAGCCATCTCTCCAGCCCCTAAGAAGAGAATTTCTACCCATGGTCCTGTGCATCCTTTAGTCTTGTTACTTGTATGTGTGGCTTTTGTTTTTGATCAAGTCTCAAATGGTCCATGTGGCAGAGGCGGGCGGAAAGCCCTCATCTCGCTTGCCTGCAGTGCCCAAGTGCTGGGATCACTGGCATGGTCCAACCATGCCCGGTTTCTATGGTTACTTTAAATTGTGACATTGAATTGTCCCTTTACAATCACGTTTTGACATGTAGTCATCCTGGTGGGAGAGTATTTATAAAGGGAATGTCTGGAGAAAGATGATCATTGACATGGAGGGTCACTTAGCAGGTGCCAGAAGTCAGAATGGATCCCTGATTCTAGTGGATCTAGAGTCTAGATGACCTCAAAGATTCCAAAAAGGACCAGACAGCTGCCATGGGTAGAGGATATTTGGAAATTGTGTGAAGCAGGTGTTTCGAGAAATATTGAAATCCCCTAACCTGTTCCTATGAGCAACTGCCAGAGTGATCATGTATATCATTTCCTTCCTTCCTTCCTTCCTTCCTTCCTTCCTTCCTTCCTTCCTTCCTTCCTTCCTTCCTTCCTTCCTT